AGCAGGCGGTTTTTTTGTCTCTTTTGATCACTGCTATGTCCCCAGAACTGGAACAGTGCCTGGCTTAATCAATTCCTGTTGAATGAAGAGTGAAATGAAGCAGTCATTTGAATCAGATCCCCGTGTCAGCCCCAAGAGGCCAATAGGGTGGGAATCACCAATGTCTATTTTACTGAAAGAGAAAAGAGGTCCAGGGGACCCATGGAGTCTGGGCCAGGACGTTATGGGCATGGTCACCAATATCATGTATGTAATTATTCAATTAACATCATCTGCCCTCCCTGAGGGCAGGGACCACACCCTCCTCACATTCTGCGGGACCTGCCACACTAGAGGTGCCCGGCAATGAGTTGCTGTTGCTGTGAAAGTTGAGGAGGAGCGCAATAGAAGAGGGAGGTGTGGTTTAGAGCTCATGGGACCTGCCAGTCATAGCCAGGCACTCAGAGAGGGGCGGGCCTTCCGCCTGGGTCACACAGCATACAGGGAAGAGAGGGACTGGAATCAGCACACTGCAGAGGCCAGAAGTGTGAAGGATTTTGGAGGAGGTGGTGGGCAAGCTGTTGGAGATTTGGGCACTGCAGCCTACACCACACACGCACCCCTCTCTGCTCTGATCTCTCTGTTTCTCCGATACCAGCCCCCACCCCAATGTCCCCTGCTCATCCCCACCTCTGAGCCTTTCCTATGCCGTTCCCCATGCCTGGCAGGTCATCCTTTCGTTCCAGGTCTGAGCACCTGAGAAAGAGCTTTCTAGAGAGGGTGAGACGCGGAGCTTCCAAAGCTTTGGGAGGATCCCAGAGAAGAGGTTAAGCAGCACGGCTGCTTCTGGGAGCTGGGGGGCCTTGAAACGTCTTCCCATCCCCTTTGTAACTCTCCTAAGTAGGCAGGAGCCCAAAGGAGGCCACACCTGGAGGCCACCAGGCTAAAGCAAATAGGTGTCGACTGGAGTGGCTCATGCTTTGACTTCTGCCCAGGCCCTCACACACCCCTGACCTCTGTTCCTGTGGGTTGTGCCTTCCTGGCCATTCTGTGAAATGCATCCAGGTGTCCCAGCTGCCCTGCATCATCGACTCTCCCCTGCTCCAAAGTCAGCCATGGCTCCCCGGCACCGTCACAATAGAGTACACGTTTCTCTGCCTGGCATTCCCAGTTGAGCCCCTGGAAACCTTACCAACCCTTTTTTCATCCTCCGTCCCTCCCCACTGAGCAGGCAGCCCGGGCTCTGGCTTCAAGCTACCAGCTGTTCTCTCTCACCTCAAGACCTTTGCTGTTCCCTTTGCCCCATGCCCTGTAGAGAACACTTACTCACTCCTTAACATTGAGGTTCTGTCCGCATTCAATGCACAGAGGCCTCACGCCCCACCCCCCTGATTCCCCAGCCTCCCACTTCTGGCCCTGTTTCTCCCTTTGCCACGCGCTAACCATGGGGCTGGCAGAGTCCATTCCTAATTCTGAACCACCCCTCTCCACATCATGGGGGTACTGAGCCTCTGGATCACCCAGCACAGGTTGGTTTATAGACTTTTTGTTGAATGAATGAGTCCATCAATGAATACAGGTTAAATTTCAAACACGCTAACTCAGCATTCAAAAGTTTATCTTTAGTTCTCTCCATATTTTAGCCACAGAGACCTACCCCACCCCCGAGCTGGCCATCCCTTTTACTTCTAGGACTTGGCACATCCCTTTCTTTTCTTTTGTTCCCTTTCCCAGACTCCTACTCCACTTGGCAAACTCCTATTCATCCTTCAAAACTCAATTCCTAGGTGCTCTCCTCTATGAAGCATCCCAACACCTGAGCTGAGTCCTCCAGCGCTTCCTTCTTCTGTACCCTGACTGTGTGGGGCTGGGCTCTACCTCTCCAAACCCCAGGCTCAGAGCTCCTTGCAAACAGATCAGTGAGAGAACCAAAGATTCTTCAGAAAGCACCATTTTCCAATTATGAGTCATGACTCCTAAGCAAATTGTGCTAAAATCCATGTGAATAGATTTTTTAAATTTTCCTGCTGCATTTTTTGTCTTTCATTTACATCCCTAGATCAAAAGCACGCTTCTAGACAGCAGCATCGTATTTTGACAGGCGTTCAGCCCTACACAGATTGGTGAAAATGTTATGGCTTCCTTTTTATTCATTCATTTACTGACCACAATTGCAAATGTCTCAGAGATGACTTTGTATACAAACCTTGCCAGCTACAGGGATCATCTCTTTGGCGAGAGTTCCTAAAGGAACAGTGACAGAGTCAAGGTTGCAGGTTATCTGTAAACTGATGTCTTGACACAAGTGGTCAGTTTGCTCACAGGAAGCCACATAGTGTGAGTATGCTCATATTCATTAAAAAATAAACTGATTCTTTTTTGAGGGGAGGTTTAGCTCAATGGATGAGCATATGTTTAGCATGCATCGGTCCTGGGTTCAATCCCCAGTTCCTCCACTAAAAAAAAAAACAACTCATTTTTAATTTCTTTTTTTCAGTGGGCTTGGTTTTTTGGGGGCGGGTAATTAGGTTTGTTTACTTACTTTTAATTTTTAATTTCTGACTTGAAAGGCCAAAAAAGAAAAAATTTTATTGTTTTCTATTTGTTTTTTTCAATCTAACTATATCAGCAGCTGGCAGACTACAGCCCCCTGAGCCAAATCCAGCCCACAGTCTTGTTTAATGTGACCCCTGTGCTAAGAATGACATTTACATTTTTAAAAGGTTGCAAAAATGGAAAGAGGGACAATAGCTTGTGATATTGACATGAAACTCACACCTTGGCATCCACAAATAAAGTTTTATTGGTACACAGCCACACTCTCCTGTTTCCACGTAGTCTGTGGCTGCTTCCAGTAGTTGTGGCAGAGACCATATGGCCCCAAAAGACAAAACTATTGCCTGTCTGGCCTTTACAGAAAAAGCTGCTCGACCCCTGCACTCTGTGACTTGTCAGCTGTGGGGATGGGTTTGGGGCACTCAGAAGTGTGCAAGACGAGAGAGTCTTGAGGGAACCCCTTATAACATAACTCAGATTCAGTTCCTTATGCCCTGTGCTATTTGCCAGAGCCTTTTTGGTAGAACAGAAGAGAAGGTATACAAAACGATTCCCAGCGCGTTCACACCAGGGAAAGGTGAGTCCCGTTTGGTGAAACTTTTGTTTCCGTTTGATAAGTATTTGGAAAGGCAGGTACTGGGTGATGATGATACAGAAACCTCCAAATGTGTGTCATGACTGGGATGAGTTTTATACCTGCAGCTTTGGTGAGTGTCTGGTGGTTCTTCAATATACTACATTTAGAGACAGGCTAAGGGGGAGGGCATAGCTCAGGGGTAGAGCGTGTGCTCAGCATGCACGAGGTCCTGGGTTCAATCCCCAGTACTTCTGTTAAAATAAAATAAACAAATAAACTTAATTACTACCCCCCCCAAAAAGGGGGTGGGGAGGGTATGGCTCAGTGGTAGAGTGCATGCTTAGCACGCACGAGGTCCTGGGTTCAATCCCCAGTACCTCGATCAAATAAATAAATAAATAAGCTGAATTACCTTCCCCTACCAAAAGAGACAAAAAAAATTTAGAGACAGGACAAAGGACAGTAGGATAGAGGGAAATTTTGTCTGAGAGCACAGCCCGCACCTAAGCCAGCCCTCTCTCCCTGCCTTCTGTGGGGTGGGCTGCACAGGGAACTTTCTGGACTGCAGGGACTGCTGGGGAATGCAGAGAGGAGGGTTCCAGAACCCTAGATCTTCTTCTCAGCTTCCAGGCACCGGCACACTCAGCCCCCTCCTATTTTACAGGGGAGGCTACTGAGGACCAGAAAGGGTCAGTATCTCTAGATCAGGAGAAGCAAAAGCTGGGGTGGCGTCAGGGACCCCTTGAATCTCAAACACTTGCCTCTTAGCCCTGAGAAGTAGTGAGGTCAAAGGTAACAGAGTCAGAGCAACCTGGGCATGCCAGTCCTCTGCTCCTCTCCCCACCTCCAAAAAAAATCTCTCCTGGTCCTGCCACGTTCAAATCTCAGCTCTGAGTACCCGGGTGACCCTGGGCATATCTTTCAACCTCCCTGAATGCCAGCTTCCTCGCCTTGCCTAGAAACTGGGATTAACTCTATACATTGTATGTTGTGCCTAGCACCCAATGCCACTGTGAAGAGGAAATGAGGTTTGTCAGGCCAAATGTTTAGTATGATGCCTGGCACACAGTAAGTGCTCAGTAAAGGCCCCTGTCACACACATGATTGCATGCTCGCCATTTATTAGCACGTACTAGGTGCAGGGCACGGAGAGAAGGATGATGCCTCCTCACCCACCATCCTGGGAGTCCAGGGATGCAAGCAAACCGCCTTCCTCATGATGTCCCCAGCACCCTGCACAGGAGCGCATGCCTGCACGTGCCGTTGGCTGCATCTTTCAAGCTTTAGTTAAAAGCCACTACCATCTAGGCATCCAAGATTTTTGAGCCCTTCCAACATGGCCCCCATAACAGGAGCTAGAGGAAGGATGACCTAGAACTGAGGGGTTTCCTGGGACATGAGACTTACAGTGCCGAGACCAGAAGAGTCCCCGCAAATCAGGATGAGTTGGTCACCCGGGACTGGGGATACAGCTGAGATACAGTTGCCTCCTCCAGGAAGCCCTCCCTGATCCACTCCTCCATCAGAGGCTCAGGAGCCGCCTCTGGGCTCTGTGAAGCTGCCTGTGCACCTCCCATCACAGCACCATCACCCTGGCTTGTGACTGTCTGGAGTCACACCCATGTCCTTTGCTCCAGGAGAGCAGAGATCAGTTCTTTTGCTGCATGGCTGAGTTTCTAGAACCTACCACAGAGCCTTATGCCAAATAAAGACAGACTAGTGAATGAAAGCCGGCAAGCAGGCCCTGCCTAACAGATGAGCAAACCAAGGCTCAGAGAAGGGAACCGCTTCAGCAGGATTTCCCAGCAAGGCTGTGGAGGAGCTAGGGCTGGAACATCACCCGCAATCTAGTGAGACAGTCCCACCAGCCCTCACACCCAGTGCTCACCGTGTTGTAGAACTCAGCCACCAGCTCCGAGTGCTGGAAGTTGCTCTCACACCAGTCCACCTCGGAGCTCTGGTAGGCAAAGATGCTGGGCATCCTGATGCAGTGTCTGCTGCCCGCTGGCTGTGTCTGGCAGAGAGGAGCGTGCGAGTCTGGAAGGGCCAGTCCCAGCTGAGGTGGGAAGAGGACAGCTGGGTGGCCTGCGGCAGGCCAAGAGGAAAAACCTGCTGGACAGCTCCCTGATTGCGCCAGAACAGCCTGGCTGAGAGGTGGTGGTGGCTGCCCGGGCGGGGCGGGGGTGAGTGGGAAGGGGGACCTCCCATCCCTGCCCACTAGGAGTCCTGTTTTTCAGAACAGTAATTTCAAAGAACAACAATGATGACAGTGATGATGTTCCCACTGGGATGAGCAGTCTGGCCATTCCCACTTTACAGATGGGCAAACTGAGGCAGAGAGCAAAGTCATCTGTGCAGACAGATGCAAGGTGGTGACACGCAGACTCCGGACTCCCGGCTCCTAACCATTAAGTTTTACTACATTGACACCATCAAAGCGCCAATGCTGCTGCTTCCGAGATCAGGGCCAAACAGCTGCACGCCCAACCCAAAGGGCTCCGCTCTGCTCCCCTGGAGTCCTTGCTGATGGAACCTCCAATGGGGGCCTCAGTCTTCCCATCTGGGCTGGGTTGAAGCCATTTCTCCTACACCTATAGCGTCCCAGCTTCCACCGGGGGCCACCTTCAAAGCCCCCTGGGAGGAGGACTCTGTGGAGTTCCAGGCCTGGGATCCCGAGTCCTGGCTTCCCAGGCTGTGGAAAGCGTCTGGTTTGTGAGGCAGACAGGTGTGAGTTTGAACTGAGTTCTTCCCCTTCCTAAGCTGTGTGGCCTTGGGCAAGTGAATTCACCTGTCTGAGCCTGTTTTCGCACCTATGAGATAGGCATAATAACAGGATCTCCCTCTTAGGGCTACTGTGGAGATTTAACAGCTGACACAGTGTTTCCTAGGAAGACAAGTTGTGATGGCGGCCCTGCATCCAGAATCACTGAACTGTGGCAAGAAATCCACTCCCTCTTCGGTTCTCAATAGTTTCAGGAGAGGGGCTCACTTGGCGCTAATACATGTTTATGCCTAACACTTAATCCCTCTGTTTAATGAAAAGCCCATCAGCGGGTAACAGTATCCAGACAGAATGTAGTGACATTGTTTACATTGTGTTTATGTTTAAATGAACTTGTCTTATGGCTGGTCTAGCCGCTTTCCATTCACCACAGGGTTACAAATCTCTGTTTAAAAAGGTGATTGAAGCCTTATAATTCCAGAGATGGTTACATAAGTCTATACAGGTAAAGAAACTGCATACACACACACACACACACACACACACACGAATGAATGTAAAAGCAGCTGAAATCAGATCAATGTAAATCCCCTGGGTTTGAAATTGTATAATTACCTAAAGTGGACCCTTGGAGAAATCTGAGTAAAGGATACAAGAAAGCTCTCTGTACAACTTTTGCAGCTTCTTTTGAGTGTATAATTATTTCAATATGAAGAGTTTTTTTAAGTAATTGATTTAGGTTTTTTAATGGGTGTATGAATGGATCAACAAAATATGATCCATCCAAACAAAGGAATATTACTCAACCTTAAAAAGGAAGGAAGGGGAGGGTATATAGCTCAGTGTTAGGGCTCCGGTTCAATCCTCAGTATCTCCATTAAAAAATAATAATTAATAAATTTTATTTTTAAAAAAGAAAGAAATTCTGACATATGCTACATTATGGATAAACCTTGAGGACATGATGCTCAGTAAAAGAACAGACACAGAAAGACAAAAACTGTATGATTCCAGTTACAGGAGGTCCCTAGAGGAGTCAAGTCCATAGAGACAGAAAAGATGGTGGGGGCCAGGGGCTGGGGGGTGGGGAATGGGGAGTTATGTGTTTAATGGGGACAGAGTTTGTTTGGGAAGATGAGAAAGTTCTGGAGATGGATGGTGGGGATGTAAGAGTGTCCCAGTTCTTAGGAGATACATGCCTAAATATTTAGGGGTGAAGGGACATGACGTCCACAAATTGCTTTGAAATAGTTCTGCAAGAAGAGAGAAGGAGAGAAAATACGGCAAAATGTTAGTGATTGGTAATGTATGTGAATGGCACGCGGCAGTTCACTGTACTCTTGCAACTTTTCTGTTGCAATAGAAATATTTCAAAATTAAAAAATCCAAATTGGCAGATCAAAAGTATTCGTGAGCAAAACTAACACAACATTGTAATCAATTACACTACAATTAAAAATAAAGAGAAGCAAAGAGAAAAAACACACAACCTTATTTGGAGACAAACGTCTTGGTCCTACAGATGACTAGCTTGACTGAGCGCAGGAAAATGACCTAATCGTTTGTGTTAGTTTTTCCTACTCTAAAATGAGGAAAGCAATGTTCCCCTCACAGTGTAGTGTAAGTATAAAACAGAACTATGTATGTGAACTCACAACACACTCCAAAATATACTATAAAAACATTCAATGTGCTTATTCTTATCTGTTCAGGCTCCCCTCTTATACCGTTAACTGCCTTAAGATAACAAATATCATTTTTTTCCCTTCTACAAAAAAAAATTATTGGTGAGGATGAGACACAAGGAAATGCTTATCCGTCACTGCTAGAAATGGAAGGTGACTGACCATTTTGGGAAACAATTTGATATAATCTAGCGTATTACTGGGCAGGGTTGGTTCATTGCTGGAATAAGAAAATACAACCAATCTCAGTATCTTAAGAGTGAAAGTTAAGCTGTGGTATATTTATATAATAGAATACTATCCAGCCATAAAAAATAATAAAATAATGCCATGTGCGCCAACATGGATGGACCTGGAGATTGTCATTCTAAGCAAAGTAAGCCAGAAAGAGAAAGAAAAATACCACATGATATCACTTATATGTGGAATCTAAAAAAAAAGAAAAAAAATGACAAATGAACTTATTTACAAAACAGAAATAGATGCAAGATAACAGACATATGGTTCCCAGGGGGTGAAGTGGGTGGAAAGGGATAAACTGGGAGTTTGAGATTTGCAGATACTAACTAATATACATAAAATAGATAATGTTTATACTGTAAAGCATAGGGAACTATATTCAAAATCTTGTAGTAACTTATGGTGAAAAAGAATATGAAAATGAATATATGTATGTTCATGTATGACTGAAGCATTATGCTGTACACCAGAAATTAACACAACATTGTAAACTGACTATACTTCAATAAAAATATATGTAAACATTTAAAAAAAGAGTTAAAATTTATTTCTTCCATACACTAAGTCCATTGAGTGCATGCATCTACCCTGGAAGGCCCTCTGTCAAGTGGTCCAGGCTCCCTCCATCTGTCATGCCTCCACCCTCGGCATGCAGCTTTCAGAGTGGCCCTAGCGGGCCTTTCCTGGACCACTTACAGAAGACATGTTGCATCCTTAACCACCTCAGTCCAGGAAGACACGCCTCACTGTGGTGCACTTTCTATTGGTCAAGATAAGTCATGTGACCCCAACTAGCTACAAGGGAAGCTGGGAAATGCAGTCTCTGGTCCAGTAGCTACTCCCCCAATGGCAACTCTGCTCTTTGGAAAGGGAGCCTGTGACACAGCCAGGAAAGCTGAAAATGAATGTATCCTACAGTTGGGAACTCCTCTCCCAGATTTACGTCCCGCTGAGAAATTCCCACCCGTGGATTCAAGATTCATGCACAAGATTGTTTCGAGCAGCCTTGGAATATTCATGAACTGTAGACCAGACAAATAAATGGTGGGGTAGTCACCGCCACCATTCAATGGACTACACATAAATTAATGATCAGCAGGGACATGCATCAACGTGAAGGATTCTCAACAAGATCACACTAGCAAAAATAACAACAACAACAATAATAGTAATACCCATCATAAAATAGCGTAGCTGTTTATGGAATAATTTAAAATTCAGGCTACATTCAGAAAGAGAGAGAAAAATACCATATGAGATTGCTTATATTTGGAATCTAAAAAAAAAAACAAATACAAAACAGAAACAGACTCATAGACATAGAATACAAACTTGTGGTTGCCAAGGGGGCGGGGGGTGGGAGGGACAGACCGGGATTTCAAAATGTAGAATAGATAAACAAGATTATACTGTATAGCACAGGGAAATATATACAAGGCCTTGTGGTAGCTCACAGAAAAAAAAATGTGATAATGAATATAAATATGTTCACGTATAACTGAAAAATTGTGCTCTACACTGGAATTTGATACAACATTGTAAAATGACTATAAGTCAATAAAAAATGTTTCCCAAAAAAAAGAAGGAAGGTATGAATGCCTAATGGGAGACTAACTAGTTCAAGCAAAAAGAATGCTCAACAGGGACTAAACTTGGTTCCCAGAGTTTGGACATTGAGATTGGAGTTTCAAGTCCAGGAAGTATGAGTTATACTCATAGTTAACGTATATTTGGGGCTCACTGTCTACCACCCATTAAACTAAATGTTTTATATGTATCGCCTCGTGTGTCCTCAACAGCCCATTTTGTGATTACTAATGAATTATATTGTATGCAAATTTGAAACACTGTGATATTAATACTTTATTGAAATCTCAATTAACTTACAAAGTCTCATATAACTGAAAACAACCCAAATTAAAATGTTGTCGAAAACATAATTTAAAAAAATCAGGCTAAATTCAACAACTATTTAGGGTGGGGCTGCCACTGTGCAGGCACACCCCGTAGGAACGTTATTAGTTGATCCAGTACAGCCACATGGGCAGGTACCTGGCTGCTGTTTGCAGACTCCCCCGCCCCACTGCATCCCTGAGCGCCCTGGCCTTGTCCCTGGGACCCTGAAGACTTTCTCACGCCCCAACAGCTAAAGGGTTAAGATCCGGTAACTGTTTTTAATGTTGCCTTAGGTTTAGGGAGACATGCAGGTATGACAAAATGCTTTTCCAAAAAAACCAAAGGAATGGTGATCGCCAAATCCAGCAGTGTGGTCACCTGAGAGCAGGGATCAGGGGAGAGGATGCATCTTGTAAGAGTCACACCAGGGTTGTCACTGGGTTCCGTGTGTGTCGTGAATGGCTTCTGCTTCGGCCACATCTTGAAGTGGCCTCAAAGTTTCAGGAAACCCACCACAACAACCTAGTGTGGCT